GTTTATCAACTTTTTTTAAATAACCGACTACCGACAAATGCCTAGAATTTTAACTGACTAGCAACAAATGCTTGAAATTTTAGCTGACTACCGACATTGAGACCCCCCCATTAAGACCCTGAAGCATGAGATAAGCACAAGAAGATCAAGCCTTGCTCGTTTTTCTTGTGCTCATGCTTATTTTGAGACCGTTTTCACTGCCACATATGACTCTCGTGCTTCGTGCTTATGCCTATGCTTATGCGCTAGTGAAATCCACTCTTAAAACACTTTTGTGCCGAATTATTCTTACAGGTTCAGATGTGGAGTCGAGTCTTATCAGAAGCCGAAGTCAGTTCTCTGGCTTCTAATAGATGTGCTGATCCTTTGGTTGGGAATCTGATCAAATGGCCAGACCTCCTGGCTAAGCGATCTGGACAGGCTCTTATCAACAATGAACCATGCCAACATTGAAAATAACGAAAGCGGAACCAACTTGCCCAGACTGATATTTGGCACAAGGCAAAACTGGCAAAAAATGCAAGAAAATGCAGCCCGCACGGGTTGATTAATTGTCAATGTAGCTGGGTTATGTTCTAACGGGTTGACAACCTTTGGAATTGACTCATACATAAGTATTCACCACAATTTAAATAAACCCAAAAAGGATGATATTGGAAGAAAAACTCAATGAAGTTGTAAAAGCTCAAAAGAAGCCAGAAACTATAAAGTCCTCAAAACAAAAGTGAAAAGCCGAAGGGATTCAAACCGATGTCTTAGCTGGTGTCTTGGCAAGAATGAAATCCTCCTTTTATAAAGACAACTTTCCTCGATTCAATAAATTCTCGGTTGCTGGAAAAGAAAGAAAATTATAATTCTATATTGAAAGACATCCAATTCGGTCCGTACTGTCAAGACCTCGGTCTGATATTTACAGACCTCGCGCTCGGTTAATAACCTCTTATTATACGCTAGTTTTTTAACATAATGTTTTAGGGGGGAAGGAAATGTATGGCGAGGTCATTGTTTATACGCTTCCACACATATAAGTTCAAAAATTATCTTGAAACATTCCTAAACTATATTTTAGAGTAAAATCAATTTCATGGGAAATTAAGTTTAAAGTAATTTTTTTTGATCTATGACGTAATAGCAGGGAAATTCCCCAACTAATCGAGGACTCGCTGATGCACGTTACAATATAATATCATTAAACGGAGACTCTGACTGCTGTGGTGTCGATACATTGTAGTTGAGCTTCATCTCAAAATGCTTCTTAAGCTGCGATATCATCAGTATGTGGCATTATTGTTTTGTGTCCTGGTATTGAGTCAACAAGTTGTTGGTAAAGCGGAAAGGAAACGATACGAAAGCGCGTTTGAAAATCTGTTTCGTCGAGGCAAAGATGCCATAAATCAACTGTCTGGATTTCACATAGCGGTCGAAAACAACAAAGAATTGCACCAAACAATGACGAAAATCAAGCATTTTGTGAAAACAAATCCCGACAAAGTTGGTCTTGGTATTGGGTTGGCGGCTTCGAGTTGGCTTCTTTATCAAAGCGTTATTCTCGCTAATGAAACCCAGAGATTTTTCGACGAAATTGAAGAACTCAAAGGTCAATTTAACAAGTATTATTTACAAGAAGTACCAAAGCTAGAAGATTTATTCAGGAAGACAAGAGATCAACTTTACGAGAACGACCAAGAAAAACGGAAAGAACACTTCCGCACTATTTACAAACATCTGATGAAATACTTTCAAGACCTGCAACGCATCATGGATAATGTAAATGACATTATTAGTGACGTCAATAAAGCGAGGGTGGATGGTGTCATCAGCACAGTAGCCTCTGG